GCTCGCCGAAGAAGCACACACTATTGGGGAATCACTCATAAAACCATGTGCAAAAGATATTGTGATGTGTATGTTGGATCAGGAGTCTAGTAAAAAAGTTGAGGCTGTGCCACTATCAAACAATACTGTCACACGTCGTATTCACGATCTTGCTGCTGACATCGAGAAGGAGCTTATTTTTCAGCTGCATTTATGTGATGCATATGCATTACAATTAGACGAGTCCACTGACGTTGCAGGTCATGCAGTTCTGCTTGTATTTGTCTGTTATGATTTTAATAGTTCTATTGAAGAAGACTTACTTTTATGTGAATTTTTGCAAACCAATACAAGTCACTGCATTTTCCACAGACACGCTCTGGTAGTTAAGAATATTTCTCCCTCTCAAAAATGTGTTGGACAAAGCAGTACAGATTATTAATTATATAAAAACTCGACCATTACAATCAAGACTGTTCAAAATTATGTGTGAAGATATGGGTAGTCAGCACACAACCCTGCTTCTAATACAGAAGTCAGGTGGCTATCATGAGGAAAAGTGCTGGTTAGATTATTTGAATTGCGTCATGAGCTCTCCGCATATCTGATGGATCACAAATTCCAACTGTCTGATTGTTTAACAGACTTTTTGTGGTTATCTAGAGTTGCGTATCTTGCAGACATCTTTACAAAACTAAATGAAGTAAATCTGTCGCTACAAGGAAAGAATGTAAATATTTTTAATGCGAAAGACAATTTTGTCATTGTCACGGAAGCTACAGTTTTGGATCTCATCTGTAGGACGAAATGATTTGGATTGTTTACCAACTCTGAATGATTTCCTTGGAGAAAATGGATACAAACTTGATGAAGATATTCGCAGCGACATTGCAGATCATCTCCGCGATTTATACACGAACATCATTAAGTATTTTCCAAACATCAATGACAACAATAACTGGATTCGAAATCCATTAAGTTTAACAGAAAAGCCAGTCAGTTTTTCTACACAAGATTATGAAAACCTAATTGAAATCGCTTCAGATGGCCAATTAATACAAAAATTTAAAGAAGTTTCTCTGATTACATTTTGGAGTGATTTATGTCAAAGTCAAGAATATTCATCTTTATCAAGACGCACAGTTCGTCAGCTGTTACCCTTTGCCAGTACATACTTGTGCGAAACTGGGTTCTCGAACTATGCAGCAACGAAAACGAAAAACAGAAATCGACTGAATGCTGCGCCAGATATCACATTGAAAACCACTCTTCACATTGAAAGCTATTAATTTATATTATTTGATAGTTTTATTTTTTTACATATTTAATATATTTTTGTTGAATATAAATGAATGGTGTTATATTCAATATGTTGAATTTAAATGAATGGTGATCTCATGACCGTATTTAGCATCTTATTACTACTAATTTACTACTAATTGTGGTGTACTGGAAGCCTGCTCTTTTTCCCTGGTTGAAGGGGTTCTTTGAAATGAAAATTTTTCTGAGTTTAAAAGGGTTCCGTCATCAAAAAAAATTGGGAAACACTGCCTTAACCAAAAGAAGGCTGAGGGGGGACATGATTGCACTCTTTAAATATATTAGAGGGATAAATATCAGGGAGGAAGAGGAATTATTTAAGCTTAATGCCAATGTGGACACAAGAACAAATGGATATAAGCTGGCTAGTAGGAAGTTTAGACTTGAGATTAGACGAAGGTTTCTAACCATTATAGAAGTGAGGTTCTGGAACGGCCTTCCAAGGGAAGTAGTGGGGGCAAAAGACCTATCTGGTTTCAAGATAAAGCTAGATGGGTTTATGAAGGGGATGGTTTGATGAGATAACATGATCTTGGTAACTAATTGACCATTCATTATCAGAGGGAAATAGGTCAATGGAGGGATGATAGGAGTTACTATAGAGAACTTTCTGGGTGTCTGGCTGATGAGTCTTGCCCACATGCTCAGGGTTTAGCTGATCACCATATTTGGGGCCGGGAAGAGTAGATTGACAGAGGCCCTGGAGGTTTTTTGCCTTCCTCTGTAGCATGGGGCACAGATCACAGCTGGAGGACTCTCTGCATCTTGGGGTCTTCAAAGTATTTGAAGGCTTCAATATCTGAGATATAGGTGAGAGGATTATTCTAGGAGGGGTGGATGAGATTCTGTGGTCTGCACTGTGCAGGGGGTCAGACTAGATGATAATGGTCCCTTCTGACCTTAAAGTCTATGAGTCTACTAATACACCCCAGAATGATATGTGCACTTTTTTTGGCAACAGTATCACACTATCAAACTGAACTTGCGGT